AAAATGCAAATGCAAAAATCAAGCCAAACAAAACAACAACAACAACAACAAAACAAACCACCACTACCAAAACAGGTGCAAAGGTATGCACTCCTGTAATCCCAAAGCTGAGAAAGAGGAGGCAGGTGTATCCCTGGGGTTTGCAGACCACACAAGCGTCTAGGAGAATTGGTGAGCACCAGGTTCACTGAGCCATCCTGCCTCAATAAAGTGGAGAGTGATTGAGAAAGACACCTACACTGGTCGCTGCCCATCCGCATGCATGAGTACACATGCACACCCCTACCAATCACACCCACCACGTGCGCATAAGTACACAAAAGAGAACTGTTGAGCTGGCCTGTGCTTCCTTTCGGCTCATGGGCAGGGAGACCAGGTGTGGGGGTTGAGCCCATGTTGGCTGCATTTGACGGAAAATGAACAAAACCCAAAGACTTTTTCTCTCTTGTAAAAGAAAAGATTGGAGAGCTTCTGCGTGGGACAAAGGGTGTCCATGCCCCGAACTTGGGACAACGTTCTAGACCAGGAGGAGTTCCTGCCACAAATGTTGCATTTGCAGGAGATGGGTGCCTACCTTCTGGCCTCTTTCTTTTAAAGTCCAAATACAGTTCTGGGGAGCCCATTTTCTCCCATTGCATTTCCCAGAGTCAGCGCTGGGGCTGTGCAGCTCCTCGCTGCCTCTTTCCCAATCCTTCTGTCAGCCGACTGGCTTCCTGGATTATAGCGGTGGTGGTGTCCCATGGCTGAGCTGTGTCGCTGGCTCAGGGATGTGGAGAGAGTTCACCTAGGCTTTAGAGCAGTGGGAAAGAGGCTAGAGCCCAGGTCCAAGCAAGTGACAGCTGCCATCTGCCCCCTACGCCAGACTAGCTCCTTCCTCACTTCCCCGGATGTGCACCTTTACTGGTCTCCAATTACCACTCTTGTTTCAGGCTCTTAGTCTTGAGACCTCCATCCTTCCTCCTGGGTTACACTACACCCACATCCCCCCCCCCTTCACAACCAGGTCTCCTGCACCCAGCAGTCCTTGCTTCCCAGGGAACCTAGAAATGCCACAAGGCACGGGCTTGCAAGGAACCAGGGGGAGCTGGGAGTTAGTTCTTCCCACTGATCTCATTATATAGCCCAGGTTGGCCTCCAACTCACAATGCCTTAGCCTCCCGAGTGCTGGGATTTCAAGCCTGAGCCAGCACGCCTGGCCCCAGATCATGTTTTTACCTCTTATAGATTATAACTCACTCCAGGGCTGAGGCTCCATATCGCAGATGGAACTGTGTTAGGGACTGCACCAGGAGGGGTAAGAGGTGGGAGCCCAGTGGGAGTCACAGGAGGAAAAACAGCCTATTTATTAAAAATGGAGTACCAACTAGATGCAGAGAGGTAGGTGCCTGGCTGGTTAGAGACTGTGCCTCTTGGAAGGCTAAGGAGGGTTTCTATCCTAGGAAGTGGCGTTTGACAGGAGCCAGATCAGATAGCTTAACTTGGGATATGGGCAGCCAACCAGGGTGATGGGGTTTTTGAAAAGAAAAAAAAATCCTGCCCTTCATCTGACAGATTTCCTCGAATCAGCCTCATGCGATCTGCAGCCCCATGCAGACGGTGGTTCTAACCTCTTTCTCTTATCTCTTCATGGCCTTCCTCTCCTGCTCTCCTCCCCCAAAGGAAGGGAAATCTTCAAAGAAAGAGATGTGTCACTGTAAGTATACAGCCCAAGAAAATGGGCTAGATAAATTATTAAAACAGAAAAAGACAGCAAGTGATGGGGTGGGGGAGCCCGCAGAGGGCAAAGAGCCACTCGAGGTAGGTGGTGCCCTGGTGGCAGCTAGGGAATTCATCCTGAGAATCCTAGACAAGTGGTCCTGGCCCCACCTGGCCCACTTTCTGGCTTCTCATGCCAGGGTCAGGAGAGGGCGTAGGTGAAAGTGGTGAGGGTCCAGCAGCAGCAAAGTCCCAGGCGCCTGGCGGGGCCCTGTGTCTGTCCAGACACTTGGGATTTACTTCCCCTAAGACTCAAGCTGGTAACTACAGAGTTTTAGTCCTTGCTTTTATCTCTTTTTGAACTGCAAAGAGACATTCCCAAGGGGCAGAGGGGATACTGTTTTCTCATGAAAGAAGAAAGCCATGACAGGTTTAAGGAAGTCACCATCATTCTAAGCTCTGTGAGAAAGAGCTTCGCTTTGATTTCGGAGCCCCTGGCACTGGTGTGGGTGTGGGTGAGAAAGACAGGCAGGGACCCCACAGGAACTCCACGTCTGTAGCAAGGGCTCTGCAGGATGTTCTCTGTCAGCTCAGGACTTAGGACCTGGGCGCTCTCTCCTAGTTCCTGGGTCTGCTCTTCTATTTCCTCACAGCTCACATGCCTCTCCCTAGACATCTGGGCCAGGTGGTTCTGGTGGTGTCCTGGGCATAATAGGCCTTTGGCAGTCTCCCTGACTGGCTTGGACAATATCAACCCTTTCCAGCATGCACGCTGCCGTGTGCCATTCACCATGGCTGCTGTTTCTTGTCTCTCTTCCTCCACCTGGGATATGGCCTACGAAAGGGGCACTATCCATTTTACTCAGATGCATATTTAAAGTGTTAGAGCAAGGTTTACCACGTAGCTGGTACTTACTATTTCTTTCCAGATCTCAGGCTTGGAATGTGCTGGAAACCTGGAGTAGTGAAAAATGGGTGCCAGTGAAGGAGCAGTTTGAGGTTGGTTCTTAACGAGGTCACTAATCAGCTGTGTGATGGGTAACTCCTTGGGCAAGTAACCCCACCTCTCTGAGCCTATCCAACAGGGTCTGTCGTTTCCACAAGTACAAAAGTCTGCATCAAGAGTGACTGTGAGAGAAGGGTGGTGGTGGTTCACACCTTTAATGTCAGCACTCGGGAGACAGAGACTGGCAGATCTCTGTGAGTTCGAGGCCAGCCTGGTCTAAAGAGAGGCCCAGGACAGGCTTCCAAAGCTACAGAGAAACCCTGTCTCAAACAAACAAAACCCAACCCCCAAAACAAAGCAGAAGTGATTGTGAGGGTGAAGGGCACAGAAATACGATAGGCACTAAAGATACGACAACATACAACCGCCAGCAGACCAAGTGTGGTGGCTTACATCTGCAATCCCAGCGTGCGGGAGGCTAAAGCAAGAACACTGTTGCTATTTCAAGACCAGCCTGGGCTACAGTGTGAGCCCTTGACTCAAAACAAGCTAAAAAACCAAAAAAAATATCAACTGTACTATTTTGCTGTTTTATGAGGTCCCAGCCATGCTTGAAGGAGCACATCCTGCAAGAGATTTAGGTGTGTGCTTAGAGGAGCTTTCATTTCCTCCAAACTGGGTGTGAAAACACGGAGAGGGATGAAGATTCTGGAGGGTCACACCGCTCTGGGTTCTCTTGAGACAGGTAGATGCTAAGAGTTGTATTTCACAGTTATAGTAGGCACGAGCCACATGCAAAGCCACTTGCAGCAGTGTGGCTCTTCTGCTTGAGATGTGTGCAACTGTAAAATGCACACCAGACTTTAAAGACAGTGAAAAAAATGTGACAATTTATTAAATATTGATGCTATTTTGGCTATAGTGGGTCAAACTAATTTCACTTGTTTCTTTTTTAATTTTTAAATCACACTGACTTATTTAGCATGTGAGTATGTATGTGGACACTTAAGTGCCACAGCACTCATGCGGAGGTCAGAGGACAATTTTGCAGCAGCTGGGTCTCTCCTGTGACCATATGATCTCTGGGGATGGGACAGATCCCCAGGCTTGGTGGCAAGCACCTTTACCAGCTGAGCCATCTGGCTGAAACACCTGTTTCTTTTAACTTTTCAAAAATTGTGGTGCCTAGGGCTGAAGACATAGCCCAATAGCTGAGTGCTTGCACATCAAGCATGACCAAAATTTTGGGTTTGAGTCCCAGAGCTTCTTCTACGAGGTGACTACTTGTAAGTCTAAAATGACAAACGTAGCTCACCTGTTTCTATTCAGTAGCGCTGCACAGGGAACAAGCAAAAAAGGGTAGAACTAAGTATCCATTGTACAGATCATAAAACTGAGGCCAGCAGCCTAGTCTAGCTTTAATAGCAGAACTGGTTCTTTCCCACGCTCACACGCCAGATACCAGGATGAGCCTTAGCGCACGGCCCCGGTGTGACCAGAAGAGACAGCATTCTCAGGACCACAAAGGTGGGATGGAAGCCTTCAAGTCGCCCTCCCCTTTGCAGAGACCTCCCCAGACAAAACAAACAGGCCCTTGGGGTCTGGAGAACTGCAGGGGGGAGGGGGAACGGAAACTTAGAAAGATCAAAGACCGGGCGGTTCACCGCTCCCGGCCTCACAGCTTGGCAGCTCGCCCCGACTCCAGTTGGGCACTCACGAGCCCATGGGCGAGGAGTTGCTAGCGACAGGAGGACAGCTCGGGGCATCTGGACACTTGTCGTTAACAGGAGTGGGCTGAACCCGCACTGGCCTGCGAGGTGTCTTGGTGATTTCTACCTGACTCCCAAATGAAAGAAAAACAATAACCTTAAAACCTAGAGGAGTCAAAAAAAGGGGGGGCGGGGGTACGTGGCTGGAAATACGGACCACTTTCTGCAGAAGGCCAGGCACGGGAAGTCTGGGAAGAGACACCGTGGGAGAGAAGCAGAGGCGTGCATCCGTGCAGCTAAGGTCACCGGTCGCGACCTCAGTTTCCCCAACTGTGAACTCGAGCTATCTAGTCTCACTCTAACAGCTCCGAGGAAACGCAGAGAAGAGGGAAGTCGCAGTACCACCAGCGAGGGCAGCGCTGCTCCACCACCCAGCAGGCAGAGCCTCCGCCCGGTCCCCATTCCCGCCCCTGGGTCCGCGTAGGGGGCTTGGGGCTCAGCACATCCAAAGCCCCTCCCCACCAAGGCCCCGCCCCGACCACAGACCACGCCCTCTATGGGCCCGCCCCTCGGCAGGCCCCTACTCGCAGGCCCCGCCTCTACCCGCCCCGCAGCGTCCGCCTCGCCTTTGATGGGCCGCGGCCGGCCAATGGGCGCTTGGGGAGGCGCGGGGCCGCGGCGGCGGGCAGGGGGCTCGGCGCGCCCGGGCGTCAGTCCGGCCGCGGCGACGGCGGCAGGAGTGTGTCCCGGCGCCGCCTGGGGCTGCGCTCGGCGCGCGGACTGTGAGGAGGAGGCGAGCGAGGCTGGCGCGGGATCGGCGGCCGGACGCATGGCTTAGGACGCCCCGCCGCCGCGCCCCAGCATGGGGAAACTTCACTCGAAGCCGGGTCAGTGTCCCCCGCCCGCTCGCCGGCCGCGGCCCCGCGTCCTCCCGCCGGTGCTAACTCTCCCTCTCCTTTCTTTCCGGCTCCCGCCGCCGCCGCCGCGCGCGATGTTCCCGCAGCCGCCGTGTGCAAGCGCAGGGAGAGCCCGGAAGGTAGGAGCGCGGGCCACCGGCCCGGGGTGGGGGGGCAGCTCGAGGGAGGTGGCGCGGCCAGCCCAGCCGCTGGATCTCATTACCAGGACTGCCCCAGCCCCCAGCCCCGCCCCGGGAGCGCTCTTTGGGGCCCCTCTGTCCCTTTACTCGTTCCCCATAGCCCAGTGCTCTCACTACTGACCCTAACCCCATCCACTTTGGTGGCGTCTTCTCTTCAGATCCCCAATATCTTGCACCTTCCTTCTGGCCGCCAGTCCCTTCTCTGGAGAACTTGGCCTCTGCGCCCACTGCACCCCCACTCCTGACCCTCAGCTCTTTTCTCCACAGTCCTGACTCCCGCGCTTCTTCCTCCGATCCCCTAACTCCTTCACTCAGGATACTGCGTACTCCTTTTCACCCTCTGAATCCTTGCACTTAGGATCTCGCCGAGCCCCCTTTCTTGGCTACCTTCCTCTTTTAGATTCTGCTCCGTCCGGCGCTTGACCCTCCTGCCAAGTCTTTACTCTCCGGGTTGTGCCTCTCTGTCTCCTTCCCTTCATTCTCAGGTAACTTTTTGCCAGTTGCGGGGGGCCCAGACTCAGGGTCTTCGTGTTCTTCCCGCCTCAGGTGACAGCTTTGCTGTGAGCGCTGCTTGGGCAAGGAAAGGCATCGAGGAGTGGATCGGGAGGCAGCGCTGTCCAGGCAGCGTCTCAGGACCCCGACAGCTGAGATTGGCAGGCACTGTTGGTCGAGGCACTCGGGTATGGCCCCCACTCTGGTCCACCCTTTCAGTTTTGGAGAGGGTCTGCGAACCGCCTCCCCCCAAAACTTTCAGCATCCTGTTGGCACATTGTCTAGGTCCCCAAATCTCTTCTCAGTGTGTCCCACCAGCCCTACTTGTGCCCCCATACTTTGGAGGATCCTTGTCGATCAATCTGGCACAGAGAGTTGCTTGGGGAGGAAGTGCCAGGGAGGAGGTGATACAGGTCCAGTGGGTGGGGAAGCTGTGCTTTGTTGTGTGTGTGCGCGCGCGCGGGGGGAGGCCTCCTCTGGTTTGCTTTTATGGCCAGCTTTTCCACAGGGAGGGGTTAAGACTAGAGGCAGGCAGGAGTGACTGGGTAGAGGGCAGAGCTGTGCTGGCCCAGGATCTGTGGCCACCTCCAACTGTGTCTGTGGCATTCATCAGTGCCATCTGCCATCCGAGTGTAGAGTTTGGAGGCACTGAGACCTGGCTGTTCCCTTAGTGTGGCCCTTAGAGGCGGGAGGGGCGGAGGGTGGGGGATTTCGTATGGTGGTCTGGGTACACCTCTTTCTACACCCAGGGGTGTCTTGAGGCTAGAGTTGTTCTGAGGGAGCAAGTGGGATGGGGGAGTGAGTGAGTCCAGCCCCTGTGTCTGGCCAGGGACTGGTGTTCACAGATGTCCTGTGAGCTCCAGCACTCTGCACAGCGCTCTCAGATGGTCTGCGTGGAACTCTTGCAAGCCGAGGATCAAAGGATGAATCAACTTTTTGATGTGACATTTAATTTTTTTTTTTTTTAAACTTGGAGAGGGAACAGATCGAGCCTCAGGTCTGGTTAGTTCTTTGGTCTTGTTCTTTGGGTGAGGCTGGTGGAGTCTTTGTGCGTGCGTGCGTGCGTGCGTGTGTGTGTGTGTGTGTGTGTGTGTGTGTGTGCGTGCGTGTGTTTGGGTGGTGGCACCTGGCAGCACCATTGCAGGGAGGTGGCATGCTTGTCACCATGTGCGTGTGCTAGCGTGTGTGCGTGCGTGTGCGTGTTCATGCATGCGTATGTGGTGTGTTAAATGCCCTCTCTCTCTGGGATAAGCTCCCTCTCTACTGTGTAGCTCAGGTTTTCTCTTCCCGGCCCTCCAGTTTGCTGGCTGACTGGGACTGGGGCTGCTACCCTAGTAGAAAGGTCAGAACTGGGCCCAGGGGGTGGAGGCACTGCATTTAGAGCCTTTTAACAGAACCACAAACTTCTCCTTCCCCCACCATTCCTAGTTTTTGATGTACTTATTTATCTAAGGACCAATGAAAACAATCCAGTTTAGACATATGAGCAGATGCATTTGCCGCTCAATACAGGCCAACAGAGAGGATTTCCATTAATCAGGTTTTGTGTTTTTTTTTTCAGCCTGTTTATTTTCATAAAGTATTCTTGCAGAATGACATTTATGTAGGCTCTGTCGCTCTCCTCTTTCTGTCTCTCCTCTCTCTCTCTCTTTTTTTTTTCCCTAAACTGCCAGGCAGCTTTTACTCCATGCTAGAGGGGAAACTTGAAATACAGCGAGGGCTTGCTTCAATTGACTTTTATCTTCAAAGCCATAACAAATGTTACCCGCATGTTTTTGGTGGGTCTCCTTGGCATCCAGGCTGGGAGGATGGGAGGGAGGGGGAAGAAGGAGAGGAAAACAAAAGTCTGTCGTTTTTAATTAAATAGTAGTGTTCCCAGCAAGAGGAATGCAAGCCAGTAAAAGTTGCCATTGGGGGAAATGAAGAAGGGGGAGGGGGCCCCTGCTTAAGCCTGTGGCTTTGCTGAAGTCACGGAATTCGTTGCCTGGTTTCTTCCCCCAGCTGAGGACAGCATGGGATGGATGGTGCTTGCTCGCCTTCCTGGCTCACCCCCCTCTCTGAAAAGGAGGGGTCATTAATATTTGTTCAAAGTCCTTTTGAAGATGTAGGGCATAGAGCCATCAGTGTGACATGTGTTGGATAGTTAAGAGGGTGGGCCCAGCCATCAAAGATGTTGAGTGTGGGGGGGAGGTCTCTGCTTCCTTGAGAGTGGATCTTAATAACAGATCTGGATGCCTGGGTTCCAACCTGTGGTGGTCACCATAGTGGGGCCAGGCATCAGCCCTAGAAAAGGAGCGGGCCGAGCCAAAGTGTGGGGTCGCGTTGGTGGTGGCCTGTGAAGCACTTCAGGTGGTCTTTAGGGGGAATGTCTTTAATCTTTATAGGTGTCTATCTTTTTTAATCAGAGAAAAAATAACCAGGACATCAAACACATGATTTCATGGACGTTATCACTTAAGATGAATCAGAGTTGAAAGAGGGAGGTGAGTTCAAAGCCAATACAGGGAAAAATACCGGGTTCAAGTGGTCGTAGTTGGGGGGGGGTGGTAAGAATGAGTGCTGAAATGGCGGGGACAGTGAGGGTGCTGGGCAGGCCAGTGGTGAGTCCATTTCAGTTCTCTCGCTTCCTTGAGTCCCACTGGCATGGGAGGGGTGGCTGGCAGGTCCTTCCATGATATCATCAGGATGTTGATGGGTGTGGACTCCAGCAGTCTGCAGGCTTCCAGGGCTGGCAGCTTCCTATAGCCAGTACCAGGCCTATCTTGGTGAAGGCCTCTGTGTCCGCTTCTCTACTTGTCCTGCCACCAAAGTGGCTGGGGACACATTACTGACTTATCCAACTGACAACATTATTACTGCTGTGAAGTCTACTGTTGCCTGAGCGCCTGTATGTGCCAAGCACATTGCTTCTATTACCTTAATCTCCCCATAACCCTCTGGAGTTGCAGCCAGCTGGGGTAGACTGAGTTGTCTCCCTTTCTAGAGTCAGTGTGTGTGAAGCCTAGAATTGCCTGATTCCCAGCGAGGGGCATAGACAGTTGCCACCATGTCCACATGAACCAGTTGCAGGGGAAGAAGAAGCAAGAGCCCTACCTGCCCCATATCTGGGGCAGGATCTGGGTTGCATGCATCGCCCTAGGGTGTGAGGGTAGCCACGCAAGTGCTCAGCTCAGCCGACCCCCCAACATATCGAAAAACTGAGGTCAGGCTCTGCACTGTAGCTCGTCACCTTGTGCAAGTCACTTTAACTCTCTTTATCTTGATAAGCACATCTGTAAAATGGGCCCAGTCATGTTCTCCTCCGTGTCAGTGGAAGTAGATAAATCTTGGAAAAGCGTAGAGCCCAGGCTGAGAGGGTGATACTTATGGAGGAGCCCTGATGTTTGTGCTCTTTCCCCCTACATCCTTCCATTCTCGGCTCACCTGGGGAGACCCAGGTTAAGGTCTGGGCTTTTGCCTCTCTGGGGATGTTTGATGAGGTACAAGGGACTATAAACTCAAAGGAGAGAGGTGGTGAATGACAGGAAACATAAAGGCACTGTTAACAAAGAACAGTAGACGGAGCCAGTGCATGCTTGAGACACATGTACTGAGCAGCATTAGAGGCTAAAGCACATTCATCTCCAAGAGACAGCAGGCTACAGTAAGAGGCCAACCAGTGGAAATCCTAGGTGAGCGGTGGCTGGATGATGAAGCTCCCTAGGTACCTCTGTCCATACTGTGAGCGTGGGCACACATGCGTGTGTGCATGTGTGTAACTAGATTCAAAACAACCTTTACTCCGTGCACTATGATCCTTTTGTTCTTTTACAGCAAAACTGCTTGCAGAAATAGGTTGGGGGCTTGGAGCCAAGCCAGCCCCCCTATAGATCAAAGGCGGCTGCCAGGCACTTTGGTAATTTGATTAGGGGGCACCTAGCACATTTTGATATTTAGGGAAGATTAGGAGGGTGCAGGCATGCTGCATGGGGCCCTGGTGGGGTTGGGTGATGAGATTGGGGGCTGATCCAGCTGCTGCCTGAATTCTGGATTCCAGGGGAATTACCTTTGAATGATACCAGTTGGCACAATTAAAAGGCCCCATGTCTTCACCATATGGAAAATGTTAGGCCTCCTTACGTGGTTTCAAAGCTATGTGTTGGGAGGTGGACTTGACATTTGAGGTACAGCATAAATTAAATACTTGGTGTTTAAGAATTAAAAGATGATTTGCTTTGAGGCTGGTCAGGGTTTCAGGGAGGCAGCATTGTGCCTTCTTCACGCACAGGCTTCTTGGAGTGGTCTAGGGGAGGGTCTCCTTAGCTGACCCCGCTTCACAGCCCTGAGAACTACCTGGACCTGGGAGAGCCAGCAAAGAGTAGCCTGGAAGGCCTGAGCTGTCCCAGGTGCCAGACATCACTGCTGGTTGCTTCCGGTCTTGCCAGGCGGTGTCATCTGTGAGATGGGAATTCTTGGAGGCCCTTTAACTAGCACCTTTTCTTCCTTTCAAAGTCTTTAAGAAGGAGTCTGGGTTTCCTTGAGCCAGGCCATATGTGCTGTCTGTTTCCTAGAAGCCAGGGGAACCCGTCTCCATTCACAAGCTAGGCAGCCTCGCCTGCACGTGGTAGGAGTAGAACCGGGGGCTGCTACTTCCTTGCTTAGTGGGAGGAGGAGAGGAGATGGGCTGGTGAGTGCGTGCACCCCTGTTTGTTCCAGGAAGCTCACTTCCCCCATCAGTGACCACCTGTCTTCTTGGACACTTGGTCAGAGTTCAACTGTCAGAAACAACGAAGTCAATGTGACTTCTCTCTTGAGGTACATAGCAGGCACTCACTGTGGATGAATACAGAAAGAAAGTTTGCTCACTGTTTTGTCCTTGCTGCCTCCTTCCTCCAGCCAACTTCTCAGACCATCTTTCCCAGTCCACTGTTCTTAGTGGACTTGTAGAGCCAAGCCTTTCTTATAGGCGCTTAGTTGACTAATCACTGTTGACAATGTATTGTTAATATACATTGTGTCACACATTGGGAAATGGTGGGAAGAGGCATGGTCTTCGCCCTTGGGTAACGTCAGAGTAATGAAGGAAGCAAAAGCCTCTGAGTGAGCAGGCGGAGGACTGGAGGACTGCCGGGATGTGTCACGGAAGGGATGGCCGGCACCCTGGGCAGGACTTCACTGCTGTCGCGGCATGCTTGAACACCTGTCCAGG